GCCGCTGCCTCCTGCTCAGACCAGTACAGACCAGTATGGCCTGTAAGGGATGTCGTGTATCTACAAGTGTGTGTGTGTGTAACACCCCTGTATTTATATATAGGTGTACAGAAAGGCGTGTACATATATGTATAAATAAATTTTTAAAGTATTTACACAGTGGTGCAGTATTTTATTAACATGATATATAATATATTTATGTCATATGTATATTTATATCTGTAAAATATACAACACCCTTTTTATTTATCTATATAACACATGTAATGGTATGTAATTTTATATGCTTATATTTTAATATTTTATAAGAGATTAATATCTATAAGCATATAAGATTTAAAATACATAATACACATGCAGAACAGTGTATGAATATAAATATAATATAAAAATATTTTGTGTAGAATATAAATATAATATATAAATATAAAATAGATTTTTGTGTATAATATAATGTAATATTTATTATATTACACTATATTATATTAATATGTAAATTTTTAAATATACATATATAAAACCACAAATACAGTTCCCCAATGACAGCCCGGTTGCAGTGGGACCAGGCTCTCCGAGGCCACCTCGTCCCACCCCAGCTCCAGCCGACCGCCGACCAGGCAGGGCTGTAGAACGGAAGGTCCAAGCAGGAGCCGGGTCCCTGCTGGTGGCGTTGGGTGCCCAGGGCTGCAGCGACTGCACACGGGACGTCACGGCATGGCAGTGGCCATGTCTAGGTCACTGCGTCCACCAGAAGAGCTTTCTGTTGCTCCTGGGGGTGTGGGAAGTGGGTTTTTTTGGGGAAAAAATATCTCTTGAAGCTGCTACGAGCTGAGAAGATGACACCCAGGCACACAGCTCACAAGCTGGTGGCTCACACACGGCGTTGAGAAAGCACCTGGGAAGAACCGTAGTGATTGTGGATACACAACCAATGCAGCGCTGGTGTTGAACACTTCTTTGTGGCTTGGTGGATGCGGTTCATCAACACAATGAAGGTACTGAGTATGTCTTCACGGTGGTGGACGTGGTTTCCCAATGCAGCACTGGTGTTGAGTGCGTCTTCATGGCTTGGTGGATGTGGTCCATGCAGGCAATGAAGGCACTGAGCGCATCTTCATGGTGAAGGACGTGTTTTCCCAACACAATGGTGGTGTTGAGCCCGCCTTCATGGCTTGATGGACGTGGGTCACCAATACAACGCTGGTGTTGAACACATCTTCATAGCTGTGGATATGATTTCCCGATGCAATGACAATGATGTTCAGTGCATCTTCACGGCTCAGAGGACATGGTTGCCTAACACAACAATGGAGTTGAGGAGGTCTTCATGGTGGTAGACGTGGTTTCCTAATGCAGCGATGGTGTTGAGCATGTCTTCCTGGCTTGACAGGCGTGGTTGCCCAACACAACAACGGTGTTGAGTGCATCTTTGTGGTGGTGGACGTGGTTTCCTAACACACCGATGGTGTTGACCACATCTTCATGGACGTGGTGTCCTAAGGCAGTGATGGTGTCGAGTGTGGCTTCACAGCTTGGCAGATATACTGTCCTAACACAATGATGGCACCGAACATGTCTTCGTGGCTGGGCGGCCGTGGGTTCCCAATGATGGTGGTGAGCGCCTCTCCGTGGCGGTGGCCATCTTCTCCCAGCGTGCCTGGATCAGTGGGCTAAAAGGCAAAGACTTTGTCATCCAGCCTTGGTTGAAGGTGCTCATGGCCTCAGGAGCGGTTCGGAGGGGGCCAAAAAGACCCCGCGGTGCTCGAAGAGGGCGCTGGGGCGCAAGGATGGTCTCGGGACACGCCAGGACGGGCCAAAAGTCGGGTGGTCTTCAGGTGGGGGGGTGGCAGGTCCAGGGTCTTGGAGGTGATTTGGAGGATCCTGGGTGGGGAAAAACCCACCGCCCCCACGGAGACAAACCAGGGAGGGAAGCTCCGTGGCGGGCGAGGGGGCACCGGTGCCTAGCTGCCACTGCCGGCCGACCGCCAAGAGCAGCGTGGCGGCCAGGAGGCCCAGCTACAGCCGCCAGCCTGCGCTGCTGCCAAGATGGCCGACGAGACCCCTGGGCGCAGAACTACAACTCCCAGCATGCCCCAGAACAAACATGGCGGAGAGCAGGCCCGGGGCGACAAAAACTACAACTCCCGGCATGCCCCGCGGGAGAGCAGGAACGGCGGAAACAGCGCCCCCTGGCGCTCGGAGGTGGCGGCTGCGCTTCCCGACTCGCGCATGCGCGCTGCGGCCCTCCTCTGGCGGGTACAGGCCCTGGGGGGCTGGGGGGGTGAGAAGGGCCTTAATGGAGATTGAGGGGGGTAGAACCCCCCCCCCGAGGGGCTGGGGGGACAAGAACGG